ACTTTTTAAACAGAGGGCCAGTTCACTGTCCTTCAGACCGTTGGAGGGCTGAACTGTGGGCCCCAGGACGAGTCAGCTGTGAAGCAGGACAGGCAGTGGCAGCAAAAACACCCCGAGGGCTGGATAAATGTCCTAGGCGGGCCACATGTGGCCCCCAGGCCTGTAGTTTGAGAACGCCTGCTCTACATTTAGTAAATTTCACATGTACCCTTATAAGGTGTACCGTAGGTGTTAAAGTGTATGATTTAATAGTAAGATGCACTGTAGGTGTTAAAGTGTATGGTTTAATAAGTTTTATATAGGTGGGAAGTCTCGCCGCAGTCCTGTGGGAAAGTATCCATACAAGTTTATCACCTTTCTGTTTTTTCCTGACCTCAGGACCTGTGATATATTATGTTTAGAATCTCTCCCCCCATCTCTTTCTTACTCCCTCCCCAAGTAACTGAACTGCTCTCTGTTACTATAGATTAGTTTGCATTTTCTAGAATTTTCCATAAATGGACTTACCCTGTAGATATTCTTTTTTGTCTGTCTTTTTTCACAGAGTGTAATTATTATGAGATATGTCCATGGTGTCACATGTGACACAGGTTATTCATTCACCTGCTGTTGGTCATCTCAGCTGCTTCCAATTTTTGGCAATTACAAATAAAGCTGCCATGAATGTTTGCATATAGGTCTTTGTGTGGGCATATATTTCCTTTTTCTTTGGCACATGCCCAGGAGTGGAGCGACTAGATCACTTGGTAGCTGTGTGTTATATCTTGAACAGCCAAACTGGTTGTACCATTTTATAGTCCTACCGGCAGTCTGTGAGAATTCTGGTTCCTCTGTATCCTCTCCAGCACTGGGTATGGTCAGACTTTTATTCTGTTTTTGAGACAGAGCCTCAAGCTGTCCCCCTGGGTAGAGTGCTGTGGCATCACAGCTCACAGCAACCTCCAACTCCTGGGCTCAAGCAATTCACCTGCCTCCACCTCCCAAGTAGCTGGGACTACAGGCGTCTGCCACAATGCCTGGCTATTTTGTGGTTGCAGCCCTCGTTGTTTGGCAGGCCCGGGCTGGATTTGAACCCGCCAGGTCAGGTGTATGTGGCTGGCGCCTTAGCCACTTGAGCCACAGGCGCCGAGCCCTCTTTCATGTTTTAATTGGAATTTCAAGACTGACTTATTACTTTAAACAGACCAAATTCCCTTAAATACTGAAGTACATAAAGTAACAGCATACAGATTTCTTAACACAAAAATATAAAATATTATGGTTTTTATTTTCTTAGGTATGTCTATACTTAATTCTATATTTTCCTGAAATTAAAGCAGCTTACTTAGTAAGAAAATAATTACATGATTTCAAATTATAGTGAATTACTGTTCTAATCAATTTCTGGCTTTTTTTTTCCTCAACTGGATGACCTTTTTTTTTTTTTTTAATATATATGTATAATTCAAGAGACCCCTGGCTAGGATGAAACTATATCTTGGCCTTCAAATCCAGCTGCTACCCAGAGCCCTGAGTCATTGCCATTTTACCTACAAATGGGGATGGTCTTATAGCCCATGTGTCCTAAATAGAAGCATCAAGTTACCAGATCTCTTCTCAGGTAGCTCTGCAATTCTCTACCCAGGCTGTTAAGCCATTTGACCAGATTCAATTAATCTGTTTAACCCTTCATTTCTTATGCACTATGGCCACAAAATAGGTAGAATTAAATAAAAAGAATTGGTAAAGCAGGCTTAGGCTCAGTGTCCGTAGCACAGTGGTTACGGCACCTGCCACATACACTGAGGGTGGCAGGTTTGAACCCGGCCTGGGCCAGCTAAACAACTGCAACAAAAAAATAGCTGGACATTGTGGCAGGTGACTGCAGTCCCAGCTACTTGGGAGGCTGAGGCAAGAGAATCGCTTAAGCCCAAGAGTTTGAGGTTGCTGTGAGCTGTGATGCC